GTTCTAGTATGTTATAAATTTCCTATCTTAAAAAAGGCATTTTATTGACTTTTGAAGCCTCTTTTCGTTGCCATGCGACGATTATCGATCGGTTTATCTGTCCCGAAGTACGCATTGATGATTTTGTTTATTATTGATTGATGTTGTCATCACAACGTTTGCGTTGAATCAAAAAATGAAAAAAATTATTTACTTGAATCAAATAAATATTTACTTGGATCAAGGAGGAAAGAAAAGAAAAAAAGTCGCGCGTGTAACACACGCATGTATGGCTTAGTATCATTTAAAAATTTTAATAAGATACCGCGTCTTTAAAAAGATCCCGCGCGTAGCAAGCGCGCGAAATTAATCACGTGATTGACCGAGCATACATTAATTTAGCAACTGTGAATCAGCGCGCTTCACGTAATATGATCGAACTGAAATTGCTGCACGTTCCCGCGTCTTTTTATGCGCGTCCCGCGTCTGTTTCGGCCGTTTCGCGTACGAAGGAGTATCAAAAATACCGAATCTGGCAACAAATAATCGTCTTCCTGTATTAATTGTTCTCTCCGTGATTACGAGTAATGTGTCGTCCGATCGTATTCGGTGTCTATTGCTTTACATTTTATTGCGTACATTTCTAACATACTTATTTTGTATATTTTGCAGTATTCGTTCCTTCGATGAGCGTCGCTAGTGTCATTCAGCGTTCGGAGTATCGAGCATCATCAAGCATCATTAAGCATCATCATCCAAAGAAGCAAAAAGGGATCTCGATGGATTAATCAGATTATCTTGCTAGCCCATGATGTTTGAAGCAGTTAGTGCTCGCGTTCGCGATAATGGCTGAGTATTCCATGAAATTTTTACTCCGGTTAAAATCACATCGCGTGTCGGAAGTGAATCTACGGGCGATCGTTTTAGTAAATTAATCTACTCGATTAAACGCGTTTTCCGATAGAAGTGATTCGTGCTTCATTACATCACCGACTGCGAAAAATAGCATTTATGCGCATTCGTATTATTTGTGAGTGTCAAGTGAGTGAATGTATCAAGCAGTGTAATTATATCATGAACATTCAAGAACATCGAGCAGCATTGCAAAACTTCGAGGATTGATGTGAAGAAGTCCAGAAAAAGGTAAATGCTAGACGTCCACGGTGAAAGTGGACTGCCGATGTAAGTATATCATGTTTATACGCCATTTACTGTCTGATTGCGAATTTTTTCTTTGCTCAATTTTATGTCGCACATCTTCTCAAATTATTTGAAATTATGAAATAATTATTAATAATGATTTTTTCACGTATGATATATGATATACATAATGCAATTTTGACCATTATCTAATTATGCACTTTATCTAACTATGAACAATATGAAAATGTTTAACAATATTGCCATTATATTGGAGATTACACGATTATATTTGAAACTATATTTTGCAACTATTTTTTAAAAATAATTTATGAGTAGTCGATAATATTGCGTGCTGTTGCACCACTAGAGTGCGTTATCGGTCGGGACAATAACACGACGTTTCTAGAAACGTCGAGTTGCGTGGTGTCGTTGTGTCAAGCATCAAAGTTTCGTTACTGTTGCTACCAGTGCTATCGTTATACGTTGCTATACAGCGTAAGAATTATTGCGGCCTTTTTGTCGTAAAGTGAATTGTGGATATTGAAAAACAATGACGAAGAAAGAAGACCGTTTTGATGTTATGTTGATGGCTATGGCATGTGAACATGAAGGCGGTGTTCAGGACGTAAGTTTTGTTTTCTTGTTGAGGTTAAGTCACGCGATAAGATATTTGTATTTCACGTTGTGTTTAATTGTTTGTTGTCTAGTTTTTGGACACTATCTTCAGTTTTCTAGCGAGAAAAACAGATTTTTATACCGGAGGTGGTGAAGGAGCAGCTGAAAAGGTAAGATTGTCATTTTTTGTGTCTGCTGCTTTCCAAAAAGTTCCAAACTTAAATCAGTCAATTTGATTTTTTTTATGTGCAGCTTGTCCTGAGTAAACTCAAGAAATATGAAACTAGCGCTCTAGCTAAAGTTGCTTCTGAGAAGGTCGAAAGAGCTGAGCAAGAGAGACGGCGCAAGGAAATACTTGAGAAGAAAAGAAAAGAGGAACAAGCAGAAGAAGAAAAAATAGATAACGATTCTAGAATAGTTGAATTAACTGATGAACAGGCTGTTAAATTACAAGAAGAAATAGATAATAAGGTATGCATATTGTGAATTATTACTATCTTATTAACGTTTCCTAATTGAGAGTTGTGAATTGTGCTACTGTTGCTATTTTGAATTATATTTAATAAAAAAATTGTTTGTTGTGTAGAAACTAGTAAAGGATACTGCTGTGGCAGGACCCAGTAGTGATCATAACGATACTGATAAAACTAGCAAGCTTAATAATGATGATGAAGAGGAAGAAGATGAAAAGGAGAAAAATAAGCTGAAACCTAACAGCGGAAATGGTGCAGATATGCCGAATTACAGATGGACGCAGACTCTTGGAGAGGTGGAGGTAAGTGTTTTGTGTATTTGTATTATATTTTATATATGATCAAAATTACACATGTGGCAAAATATATAAAAAGAATATTGAAAGAAAGATTGAAAAAATATCTTTGAACGCCGTGTTGTTACCATTTTCTGTACATATAGTACAGTTTAGTTTTATTTCAATGTATTCTAATGACGATAACTGAGTTATGATATCAAAATATGAGTAACAAAGTTAATGGGTTAAGATACTTACCACATATCGCACCATTCGTTATGTGAGTATTATATCAATGTGCTGCAAAAGGCAGGTTGAAATGAAACGACATTTAATATATTTGACAGTTTCTTGTTGAATCGACGATTAATTAATACGTCAAGTAATATCACAGACGCGAAAAGCGATCGACACGACCGCCCCTCATTGCTCTCCATTTACGTTTGTTTCCTGGATTAATATTTCGACGAAAATCCAGATTTGTTTAAGCAGTTTGTTAGTGAAAATTATATTATGGACCCTAAATAGGCATTTACTATTTCGATCCCATTTCGTCGATTGCTTCGAACTGTCCGTCGGTATTCGTTACTCGTCAAAATACTATCAGATTCAAAATTTTTATGGACAAACAGGATTGATGATACTTAGGCGATATCTCGTATTTCTCTTTTCTGTCAATAGCTCTCGATAATATCGACGCGATTTACAATTGAACATTAAATCGGGTGAGCATTAAAAACGAGAAGCGCTTTACGCTAATTATGCATATTTCATTTAGAGTAATTGGGAACCACCTCGTGCATCACTGTCGTCCGTAACTCCTTACCACATATATTTTTTTCCACATATATATGGATATATATATACGAAAAATATTTAGCAGGAAGGTGTCATAACCACTCAGAAAACGGTGAAGAAATTTTAGAGAAAGTTTGTGCTCTATATGACACACACTACGTAGTAAGGAGCCAATTAACATAAAGTATTATAATATTCATCGAATCGTGTCTCGCAATACGATTCGAAAGATCCGTTAGTTCCAGCATAAATATACCAGGCTATCCCAACGCGAGGATCTCGTTAATCCCTTAACAGTATGTCGTTCATTACACAAATGTAATTACTGGTTTTAACGTACCACACTTTTGTCACGGTGCAATACAGTAATATACTTAATTCTACTTAATTCGTCGTCGAGAACGTCTACTAGTCGAGAACGGTCTAAACGGCTTAATATACATATAAATACGAGTAATTCGAATTAATATCGTGACTGGATCGTGCGCGTTATTTTTTTCTCTTTCTTGTTTTATCTATTCCTCCTTTCTGTCACGTTCTTCTCCAGCTTCGCTTTTTTGCTGTCCGCTTCTATCACGACGATCATCATTCACGGTCACGTGTCGTCGCCGCTTGTTCCTCCCGTCACCCTCGGCCTAGTTGTACTTGTCGCGAGCCCTCACTGCAATCAGAGGTAAACACCGGTGAGGAGGTTTGTTGATGGTGAATCCGCAGAGATCGCGCGCGGTGTTGAAACACAGTCGGTGTGGCAATAGAAGTTCGCGCAGCAGCAGCTGTTGTTGCTGCTGTTGCAGATACTCACTTTCCATGTAAAGAATCCCGGCAAGCAGACCGACCATGAACAAAAAGCTCATGGTGCACACGAGCACAGTGAGCTGATTCCGCGCGCACCAAGACTTCCTGTAGACGTTGGCCGGTCTGCCGAGACCGTTCACGACCGTAAAATGCGTGCTGCTAGCTACCGAGGCGGTGTCCATCTGCTTTGGTGTCGTCACCGTCGGCGGATGTATAGCGGCGAGATTCGCCAGATTTGCAGCCGTGAGTAGCAACGTTCCCGACGCGACGCTCTGTAAATTAAACGCGAAAAATTTCGAGCCTTTGTAATCTGTAAAAACTAATTTTTGCAGCGTAGCTTTTTGTCTCGATACTTGTACGATTTTATAAAAATATATAAATATTTCCGTATGTCTTTAAAAATATTAGATGACATGAGAAGCTGGGTTGATTATTTGCATACCAGAATTATCTCAGGGTTAAAATTTAGAAAATTAGTACACAAATATAAATGCAAGGTTTTATTATTACTATCAATCAGAAGATCTAGGATCTGATAATAAAGTGATTTGTCAAGATTTACATTGGAATTTTTATTTCGGGTTTTTGAATTAATTTAAAATCGAGGTTTAATTTTAATTTACAATTGCGATTATTTTTTATCTTCTGACGAATAAACATGTAAATAAGACGAAATTTACGTGTGTGCTGGCGGTGGATCCTTGAGATGACGTTGACCCTCTCGAGGGGGAGTTTGGATGCAAGTGATGAGCCCAGCTTCCATTTTCGCTGTCCCTCTCGCTGCGTCCGACCAAGGACGGCCTTGGGATATGCCAGGAAAGCGGGCTGGCGGCTGCTACCGCCGTTGTTGTCGCCACCGCCGTCGTCTCGATCTGAAACCAACGTAAATCGACGTGAAGCTTCGATTGCATAAGCGATAATGCCATGCCGATTGCATTTCTACATTCTCGCCCGCATGTCCTCCACCTGCGATCGCGTGTCGTTTATCTGTCGCCAGAAAACATTACTCTACATATAGCTACGCGTAATATGCCATCGTAAGCGCATTAAGTCCGCACTTAAATGGGAGGATTTTTAGGTAACGATAAAACAGTTCGTGGAGATCATTTTATTCCAGTGACGACTAATTTTATCTACGTGTTTGGTTTGTAAGAAAAACATCGTGAAATATAAGATCAGGCAATTTTCAGCAATAATTTCCTGATTTGATTTCTTACGGGTGTATTTGATTATCACACTTTTTTTGTGTTTATTTGCTCTTTCAATTTATTGTTATCGATTTGTCGCGCCTTATCATCCGTTAATAGCAATAGCAAATTTCTTTATTAGGATTATTTGGAGGTTATTCAATTCTTTGACAATCAGATTAGCCAACTTTAAATACTTTGTATTTAAAAATTATTATGGCCTCGACATTTTAATGTAAAGATTTTTATTTCCAAATAACATCAAGAATCTGTTTTTTACGAGTGATATAGTTGGTTTAGGACACTCTATCTGTGAATGTCTGTTTGACTGTGCGAATATTCATTTCATTTTTATTGCGCGCCTGCAGACCGAAGAATCGTGCTTGAATCGTTGATTAAATTCTCTATTGAAGTTATTTTTTGGTAATCACTGTCAAAATATTTTACTCCGTTCGTTTAACATTAAGTCTGATTGTATATTTACAATAATCACGGATATACAAAGTGTATATATTAATTGATATAAATGATGAATGAGCGTTAGCGATTTCACATCTTTACTGTCTGAATAAAAGCCGATTTCACCGTGTGGGCCATTCAAGAATCCGTCGTCCTGTATTTTTAGCGAGCGGGGGGAGTCAAAACACGCGGCGTCAAAGTGAGACGGTGCGCATATCGCGAAAGCATCTTCTGCTCCCACTCTTCCTTCCTGCGAGAGGAAGATTGACGAGAATTTCGGCATCTCCCGGGGGCGTGGAGCACCTCGACATTCCGGTTTGATCATTGCACAACGCTCGAATGCGCTCTCGAATTCCGCGCGCCGCCCCGCGCGTTAAGTTCATCGTCGTTGTTTTTGCATCGTTCTCGTCCTTCGCGCGGAGAGGCGCGACGAAGCCATTGTCGACGTCGACGTCGACGTCGTTGTCCCTTCGTCGCTTCCTTCTCGCGCGTTAACACGCCTAAATCCTTGCACGCACCCGCTGTACTTTAGGGCCGACGCGCAGCGAGTATTTCCGCGATTTCGCGTCGGGGAGAGATGACGCGACGTATCGCGCTGCGCCGCGACCGTGTTCGCGTACACATGTCGATTACGCTAGTTAATTGGCAATTTTCACACGTAAATCAAGTACATTTCGCATCAGGGGCCTACCTTCGTGGTCGGGCGCCGCCCAAGGACTGTACCCGACGCAAGACTGAACGAGTTTGCACGTTCTTTTTCGTCTCCGTGTGTCGGTTTTTCAGCCGCGTACTCGCGCTCGACCGGTACGGCGACTCTAATGAAGCACTGTTTCATACCTGTTGTTCTGTATAGCATTTATTTGCGAGCGAACAAAGACGAATGTAAATGCTTATTGATTTTTATTAAAAAATCCTGCCTTATTATTAGAAATGATACATTAAGAACTCAGTTCAAAGGAAGATATTAAATCTTAGTCATTTGCGATGTTTTTTGTTAAGGTGTTTGTCTATTGAATTTTGCTTTACGCAATTTAATGATATTGACTTTAATTATATACAGATTATTCTGATTTATCTTAAGTCATTATTCACTAACATAAACGATTATGCCAAATTAGGAGCACAATAACAAGAAATATATAAAGTACGATGCAGTATGATTGATTACATTTATGTCAACTTTTAATAGTGCATATTATTACTATAATAGAGATGGTAATATAAGCGTATCTTTTTAACATTCGTTCAGAGAAAAAATACTTAATATTTTTCTCTTAAATAAAGTATCGTAGAGCAGATATTATAATAAAGCGACAAATACAAGATTTGCTGAGGCGTAATCGATATCTCACGAAATGTGACGTATTTGCGAAAACATAAAAAAAAACGGGGGTTTCATAACGAAATTATCGGAGCTAAAATTGCGACAATGACAGATATATGTCTTCACGAATCGATATTTTGATAAATTCTCTGTCATGCGAGAAAGCGAAAGGAGAGACACGAATAGTCGGGCAAGAAATGCGAAAGAGATAGAGCGAATGGTGACGCTTACGGTGTGAGGAGTCGTTAGGAATTTTTGTGGAACTCAATATACCGGTCAGCCTCGAAGCGCCGCACCTGTGCCAGGCCCACGTAAGTGATACCCTGAAACGGATTTTGAACTCCGTATGTGGAGCTTTTAAAGATGTCAAATTATTTTTTTTTTCGGTAGGAAAATTACAGGCAGTAGCAGCTACTTGACACCTTTCTAGTAATTTGTTATCGAAATAAATAAAAGTCTGACATATTAAACGCGCGTTATTCTCAGACAATCTCGAGAGGTACGTTTAATAAAATTATTATGTCTGTTAATCCTAAAAATAAAAGAACAATTGTATGTTTTACCTTTACGGCGAATCAAAGATACATCGAGATAACGTTAATCGGGTTTGCGTTTGCAAAGAACAGAGTTAATCCACATCCCTTCTCATCGGTGATCGACAGAAAAAATAATACTGTGCACGCAGAGAAATTTTGCTCGGAATGTCCTTGGTGTCCGTATGATTAAAGTTCGACATTAAGTTTGATATCGGTGCATATGTCGGACGTTATGAAAATGCACGCTCAGTTCGCGATACTCCATTAATTGCGTCGCTGATTTTTTTAAGGCGACGCTATTTTTTATTTTTGCTATATCTCGAAATAATTATGCTGTCATCGTGTAAATTTGTTGTTTCAATTTTTCAGCAACGTAACAAAATACACAACAAAAATTGATCTTTTCTTATTAATGTAGCGAGACTGAATGCAATAATCGGCGAACTGTTATCGCAATTGCAAGTAAAAAATTTCTAAGCTTTGAAAAAAATGTTTCTAATTATGTATTGAGACTGTCGTATTAAACAGGAATGCGTGATTACAAGTCAAATGCGTGATTACAAGCGATTAAATGTCAAATGTCGTAAAATCGCTTGCGCGTTATTAAATGGTTTAATAACGGTGGTTAACATCAATGCCGCATATGGCACTGTCGTAATCATCGTTATTGTCCACGTTCTAATGTAAACGTCCTCATTAAAAGACGGTGTACTCTCTGTGTACTCGTCATTAACGAAGATTCCTACCATTAACATTCTGCGATCGCGGAACGGTAATATCCTATAATAATAACGAACATCGTATTACGTTTTTTCTCTATCCATTGGTTATAATGAATGTAATGAATAATACATTAACATTTCTCCCAAGCATGTGCGGTTCATTTCTTCTACCGTTGCTTGTTAGGTACCGTAAGCGGCGTTGATAGACCCGCGGAATTCCCTTTGAGATTATATTGTCTTAACTTCTCCTTCCTGTATTACGTAAGGGCTTGGTAGGAAGCGGACAATATACGAAGTGGAATTTAATGCCGCCACGGGGCACGAGGTTGACTCATTAATCGATGGCGTGTTGCGCGATTGCGGGTGAAACGTTCGATATCGAAGACGTGCGCGAGCGAGCGTCGGTTTGCACCTAAGGGCATATTTCCTCGTTATCGATGGCCCCCGGTAGTCTATTTCGCCCGTAAGTAGCGAACGAGCGTCACCTCGACGGATGCGTAGACGCTAATGAGCGTAAAAAGATATATGTTACAAGGTAGCGATAACAGACTTCGCGGTGCGACCTCGTGCATCTTGAGACGGATCACTTTACACTCGCGCCTCGATCGCTCCGATTAATCGAACCGATCGCGAAAGGAAACTTATCACAAACATCCACTCCACTGCGCGCTTTATGACTGCAACTTTTACTAGCGTAATTATTGGCGCATATATTTATTTTACTTGTGCGCGCAGCTATACGTTCCCATTTTATGCTCACAAGTCACTATGCGGCATACCGCGTCGTAAAATCGATCGTTCTTTCCAATACACGCGGAACGCGAAATAAATTACGAGAGAAAGATATGTCAAGAGAGATCGATGATAAATCGCACTTAAGATTGAGACATAGCAAATTAAGACATGATTTTTTTACGAGGATATATAATATATGCGCAATTTTATTTATATATAAGTTTCAACGAAGTTTCTATCGAATGCAATAAACGAACTCATGTAGGCAGACTTTCAAAAATAAGAAATTTTGAGACTAACAGAATTTACTGTTTCTGCTAGCTGAAAAAAGAATCGATTTTTTGAGTAAATAATTTTATTTTTAATAAAATACACGCAGTTACTTATTAACGAGTTTAAGGAAATATCGCAGGCTATGATACAGTGTAACAGCTTTAATAATAATATGTCACAGTATGTTTAATACAGCACGCTTTATATATGCGGTTGGCTATGAATAAATTACCCCTTAAAATGAAGAAATTTCACGTTTTTTTAAAAATTAAACATTTTTTCCATGCAAAATTAAGATTATATATTAGCATATTGCATGCATATCTTGTCAAGTATGAGTGAAAGGTTATCAACATGGTCAGTTCCGTTCTTTGCAGTCACCACCTTTCTTCCAAGCATTATTCAAGGATAAATTTAATACCGAGATACTATAATTTATCATAAATCTACCATACAGCTACTTGTGTCGGTTGAATCAAAGTAATGCCTTCATTAGATTGTCGTCGACTAATAATCGTCATTAATTTAAATTTGCTTAATGCGGAATAAAATTAAATTTATCCGACATTAATTTTTATTTATTCTGTTATCAAAACTATTGTCAAAATTATTTATTCTATTATTTATTCTACATAA